GTGGGTTGGGAACCGGACTTAACATTAACATCTGAAAAATTACCCACATTACATACACTGGATTAGCGGGCAATACAGAGGCAAAATGACCTTTCCAAAGCAACCTAGAGGTACCATTAGACGCCCCTTCTGCTAAAAGCAGCTTAGCTCCATCACTGCTCATAATATAGAATCTAACATAGATACCATAAAATAGTCTTGCTTGCCAAGTGGCTAACTACCACGTTGTCAAGACCTGATGTAGTAGATGGATGGACCTAATATCAGGAATATCTTGAGGCCTAGCAAGCAATAACCTCAGCCTAGATACCAACAGCTTTTCCTGCTCTGTTGCTCCTGGGCTTGCACAGATTTATGCAAACCTGGCCACCAGTGAAGAAATATTTCGTGTTACTTAGATGAGTACTTGAAGCCTCATCCATTCAATTAATTATATAACAAGCAGACTGCAAGAAATTAAGCTTTTGGGGCTTTTGTGGTTAGATCTTCAGCTGCCAGGCTTCTCAAAAGCATCCACTTTGCCTTAAAAGTATCAGCGAAGAGTATATAACCTAATTGCCATCCTTATTTTCCTTTATGCAATAAATGAAACCACTGTAAGCAGAGCTGCATTTAAGGGTTGCAAGGAGCAGATTATTGCTTATTCTCTCCTCTATTCCCATCCTCCCAAAAATCTCTCAAGAGAAAAAATAAATAAATAAATAGGGCATGTTTTATAGAAACTGAGAGGAATGCTCAAGTTTGTGTATTCATCAATAAGGGAATTTCTCCAGTTTGGCTGAAGAGCAGGACAAAGGGAGGGGGGAGACTGAGCGGAGCCATGAGCGAGTGGGACAAAAAGAGCATCTGCCAAGAGGTGGGGGCCTTTACAAAGGAGGGAAATAGGGCAATTGCCCCACATTCTTCAGCAAGGGGGACAAAGGAGTCAGGTGAGCTCAGGTGAGAACAGATGGCAGGAGGCAGGAGTTCGGTGTAGGCGGGCTGGGAAGGCTGTAACTTCTGAGTACCTTGGCCAATGGGGAAAAGGAGAGGGCGTCCCTCGGTCGGGAAATTAGGATAAAAGGGGGGCTGCGTCCCCCAGCAATTGGAGAGACCCCACAGGGATATGCCCGGTGGACTCTCCCTTTATTCGAATAAAGTTTTAGGACTCCTCTGTCTCCTTTTGGACATTCAGTTCTTGACAGCAAGATTTTCCACACATAATCCTTCCTGATAGCTCACAGGCTAGGAAAATACTATGCGGGACCCCAGTGCACTACTGGTTTTATTCTCAGGGAAATTTGACCTTTTAATGATTTTCCTCATGAGTCTCTCCCATTCTACTTTAGTGTTCCTTTGCACTTGCTATAATGCACCAAATGCAGACCTTAGTAACTCTGATTAAAATATTCTTTATACAGAATGAATAAAAATCTTCTGCTATAGGTCAAAAAATAAGTTAAATGAGCTGACAATCTGATTGAGAACACAGAATATTATAACCACTCCTACACTCCTGAATCACAATATAGTTATTGTGATTATGATATAGGCAGGTGGAACCTCACCAGAACATATATGATCTACTAGCAAAAACTTAGCTCCAGTTTCAGATCCGCATATGCCAAGGTCTTTAGTTCATCTGCTAAAGCAAGCCAAGAGAAGTCTGAACAGAACAAAATTATTGAGATGTGGGCCCCTCTTAGTGAGGAACTGATATGAGCTGACTTGCTCTACTCAGAACATTGTTGCTATTTCCAAGGCTTTCACTGAGCATGGGGCAGGAGCAGGCTAAAAACAGTCACTGAAGGCTGCAAAATCAGACATCCCAACTGAAATCAAGTTATTCCCTCATGGAACAAGTGCCCACTTTCCCAAAGAAACATGCGGGTTCCACAAAATACTTAATTCCAAGTAATATACAGGAATTGACCTAAATGCCAAGATAATAAGGCATGAAAGATGACATTAATTTCAAATTCTTTAATATAAGGAATTTTTGGTTGAATCTTAAAACACAGTTAGTTACGCAAGTTTGTAAAAGAATTTTCCTACAATCAAAAATGTGCAATATCTTCCTATGAAATTTATGTGTAAATTCCCAGTTATGGGCTAAGAGGCAGAAGCTTCTTCCTGTGCTCAAGAACCACCCGAGAACTGCCCAATGCAGTAAACTTCTATTTATGAGCTGACTAGGAAGATATCAACGAACAGCACTGTTGTAGAAACTCCAAGGTGGGCTATAACTTATTCCACTCATGCTTACATCATTACTATCAAACACTGTATGTTTCTGCCCAAAATACCAAATAATATAGAGCAGGTGCCAATGTTCTGACCAACTGCACAACGAGCAAACTGATGTGCTGATACTGCACCCTCAATACACGAGATGCTAAGTTTAAATTAAGAACACAGTGCTGGGAGATATGCTCTGGCTATATGAGAATGGGAGAAGTGATGCTCATAGTTTAAGCAAGCAAACACAGAGAAATAGTCTCTGGAATAGTGAACATAATATCCCACTCTGGCAAATGAAAAAAACAGGAAGGACAACTAAGAACAGCTTATTAAAAAAAGTTCAAAGACAGCACTTTCTGTAGTACTGTTGTATGTGCCAAATTTATAAATCTATATGTTCTCAGAATACCAAGGGCATTCTAGTGATGGGGAAGGTGATCAAAAGATCTACTTTTTTACTTTCATAAAGTAGAAGATTTGTGTATGTAGTAGAAGTATGAAAGTGGAAATTATGAAAGTAGAAATAAAAAAAAACATTTTTCCCCCAACTCACTTTAAATAAGCCCTAACGCAGCAGCATCTTTATTATACGCTTTTGATGATATTTCACTTTTCCCTATATCTCAGTACAAAAATACAGAAATGTCATTAGAGAAGAAAAAAAAAAACACAATGAGAAGCATTTGTTAGGACCTGCAAGTGATTGATACATCCACATAGCATGATGTGAACCTCAATACCTTGGAGAGGATCACAAGGATGATCTCCAAATGAAAACTCAAGTCAAAAGAAAAATTGCCCATGGCCGGGCAGCGAGAGCTGGCGAGGAACTCGCTTCCTGTCTTTCAGTCCTTTCTTCTAGCCAGCAGACCACACACAATTACCTTCCTAATCAAGAACATCCAGCTAGTAATCTGCTCAAAGATAATTGCTTAGTACATTTGCCATCAATATGTGCCAAATTATCGCTAATAAATGTCACTGTGAATTACAGTCAAATGCTACTAAACATTGTGTAAATAGGGATCTAGCCCGGTGACGACAGTCACTTTTCATATTATACTGTGAGGAACTCTCAACATAAGGGGAGAAAAAAAATAAAATAAAAAAAAAAAGATTGCTATGGTTCAAACTGACAAAACTTTCCCTCATTCCCATCTGTTTTAGCGTGCTATGGTATTAAATTTAAGCAAAGGGCAGCCTTTCTTTTTTCAAACCAGGTATAAACCCACAGGCAGTCTGCAATGATAGCTTATTATAAGCAGGCACTGCTTTTTAATGTATCAATTAGGTGACCGCATTCTCGGAGATTTCTCATCACAGTTTAACTACATTAAACCATTTCAACATGTAGCACTTAATCTTTTGGCACCAGAAGTCTGATTTCCCCAGAGCAATGGCAGGCGCCAAGGAGTTAACCAGATTTTAATGAACCATTTTCACTATTCAGGGAGCAAGCAGCTCTTAGGCATTCTCAGCACATGTCCTTGCCTTATACTCCTTGGGAAAATCTGCATCAGTAACATTTTGGCCAGACAATTTTCGGTTTTATGCAATAAATGACAAATGTCAGAACTCAATGGTAACTTTACAATGAAGAGAAGGGAGTTTTTAATCAAGATTCTCATGCAAACGTTTCATGTGTTCTGTGAGAGTGTCATGATAGTGTGACACAAAAGATTTGTGGTAGACTTATGATTTTTTTATGCTGTAATCAAACCGATTTTTAACACATGCATTCACATTCAAAAAGCATGACTTTAGGGAGTTGTTGTTTTTGTTTCTGTTCTTTTTACTGTAAAAGCACAGAATAGGAAGGAAGAAAATT